TTTATATAAATAATATATGTTAATTTTTAAAAATATAATTAATAATAATTATCATATTAAAAATAATAATTTATTATTATTATTCTTCCGTATCCCTAACGTTCCTTTTATATTATTCTTTCTTAATAATTCATTACATGGTGATCTATCATATTATACATCTTTCTTGTTCAACATACTATTCACATAAGAATAAATCTTGTCACCTAACAAAATATCACACATAATAATTTTTATATTATTGATATTTTATCTCAATAATTTATATGATTATTTGACAATTTAAAATTGCTACTATCAAATTATAGGATTTTTATTAATAGTAATAATTGTTATTATATTTTGATGCAACAGACATATTAAAAATTTTATCGATATTTAATATATAAAAAAATAATAATTAATATTTAATAAAAGATATCATAAATATAATAAATATAATTATAAACACAAGATTACATTATCAATTCAATTGACTCGTAATACATACTCTAACAACGGGGCAGCAATCAAGAGTGAGTGGGGCCACTTTCGGAATGGCATATGACTAAGATTTTTCGAGATTTAATTGGCTTTGAAATTTTTTGGACTTGATATGTTCCCAAAAAATCACGTGTAGTTCAAGTTAAATGCAAATTGGATTCAATTTGCTTTTATGCCAACTGATATTAGTAAAGGGGAGAGAAATTAGAATCCACTAGCAATCTGCATCCCGCTACGCGGCGTGTTAGGAAATTTAAGCCAATCAATAAATTTTTTAAAATAAAACACTCAAAAATAGTGCAAAATTAAAACTAAGAAGCAACAAAAAAAGTAATAATAAAATGAACTGTCCACTTATTCAACGAAGTACAAAAATCAAAATGAAATAATAACTAACAGGATATCCTTTTCATTTCATGGTCTTCTTTTCATAGCAGTAGAAAAGAAGGAGAGAGAAAAGGAGCAAAAGCAGGGTAGAAAAGGGGGAGCAGAAAAGAATGGGGATGAGTAAAAGGTGAAAGAAGCAATGATGAATGACCTGTCTAAAGCAGAAAAGAGGAACGTCTGAAACACGGCCCCCTAAATGCCAGCCGAAGAAAAGAAGAGATAATGGTTTAATAAGTAAATAGCCATTTTGCCTCTTACTATCTAATGCAGGAGGAAAGTTACAGAAGGAAATTGAAGGGTAAAAAGGTGATTTTAAATACTGAAAGATGGGTGTTGGGGTCCTTGGGGATACATTGAGTAGGATAAAAAGATCAAAATGCCCCCAAAACAAACTTGAAACAGCAAGCACACTAATTGATCCACTTTTGAGGTCAAATGGTAATTACAACGTGAAATTTGAAGCGAGAGAAATGGGCAAGTAGGAAGTGACGAGAGAGATAGGACGGACGTTTGAGCGAAAGGGACAAAAATCAGAGAGATAGGATGGAGTAGGGACTCAAAATTTTTATATTTATTTATATTATACAAAATTATGTTTCTTTATTTACGACTGCACAGATAGGGGCTGTTTTCTTTTGATAGATCTCTTAGATATGTTTAAATTTATAGTAATTTAGGATTTCTGAAGTTTTTTCTTAAATTACTTATTTTGAGGTTTTCTTTAAACTAGTTATTTTAATACGAGATTAGTTATAGAATTATAAATCCTGGCAAAATTTAATCGGAATTGGTGACGAATATGTCATGCTTTGTTTTTTTCCTATTATCAACCTTGTATTTTATTGCTAATTATATTAAAGAAATTTATTTTTTTATCAATAAAATATATAAATAAATAACAATAACCAAAGTACCAACAAAGTCTTATGTCTACTGATAAAGCATTTAGATAGCAAAAAAAGTATTATGTAATTTAAATTGTTTTAAATTATATAATATTAATTATTTGATAGAGAGAAATTTTTGATATTAAAGATTTTTTTTATTTAATAATTTTTATTTTATAATATAATATAATTTAAATTACAAACTAATACAACCGAGGAGACAGCGCCGGAAGAGGATGGGGAAGATGGAGTCCCGGAGGGTGAGGCTGCAGCTGCCACATCGACAGCAAGTTTCATGCCACTCCCACAATGGCCAGTCACACTACAGATGAAGTAATGAGTCCCCGCTGTCTTGAGAGCGATGGTGGTTGCACCACTCTGGTCTGTGCTGATGTAATTTCCCACGGTGCAAGTGTTGTAGTCACTAGCATTAACTTCATCTACCGTATGCGCACCACCTCCGTAATTGAACACTAAACAAATAAAGTAAAATTCAACATGTAAGTTCACAGATCAAATCCAAAAAGTATTTTATTAAAAGTATATATTATTCAATCTTGTGCTGTGTACAATCTATATTACTAAAATACAAATCTTTAGAATGGAAAGGCTTATTCTTGTGTTTAAGGGACTAGCTAGATTCATCAGATAGTTTATATTGTGCAGCATTTATATTTGCAAAAAAGTATTTTTCAATCTTGACCGGAAAACCAAAACGGAGTAATAGTGTAATATAAAAGCTAAAAAGAACTCACCTAGGCTATCACCAAC